CTCAGGAGTAAGTGCTTAAAATTGAAGGAACAACATAACGGTCTAGAGTGTCGACGGAATTACTTTTCGCTTCGGGTTTGCCAACCCTGGAACGCACTCCCAGACTCAGTTGTATCCTCCCATAGAATGGACCTTTACAAAAACGATTAGATATTGCTCTTAGCTCCCACCATTTTGTTATCAAAACTCCCCAATTGTGGATTAGGCCAATCATGCTTTTCAATAGGATTTATGTATCAAATGGACCTAGGTGGGCGACCATATTTTACTTTCCTCACGCATTACGTCAACGATCTCTGCACCCTAGTGTCTTCCGGAACGTTTACGTTCGCTTTCTTAAATTTTACACTGATGTAATTAATCCAAGTATACATCTAAGCAGACGTTCGGTAGATAAACCATATTCACCGCAACCATCCTGCGTGAGGTGTCAGCACTTGCTTTTATTCCGTGATTAATCACGGTTCAATTTCATTGAATGTTAGTTAAACGACAGTTCAGCGTGAGGCCGAAACCCGTGCAACAGATGAGTTTTGGATAAATAAATAAATTTTATATGGCTCGACGATTCGAGAAGCCGTTCCCAGAAGGGACGGATCAAATAACGGTACAGCAGTTTCATATCATGATATAATAAATTTAAAAAAATGTGAGCACAAAATGAAAATTTGTGTAGCGCGAAGCGGTCCAAAATATTTACATTCCTCTTGTTCTATCGTCTGACAAGTTTTTAGCAGTCACATGAGAGTTGATCGCACACGGAAAAAAGAGAGAATAAAGTGCTTCGGGCCAACAAAATATAACCACTTGTGCACTTGACCACATGCATTTTCAGGCACCATTAACTCCGTTCTCAAAAGCGTTATCTAAGGACTGTGCTGTTCGAAACATTATTATCACATTTTGAACGGTTAAATAATCTTTATCGAAAGCTTAAACAAACGCAATATGCAACAAATTCTGATAGCTCTTGGAAGTTTGTTCCAAAGCTTTGAGCAGTGTATTAAGAAGAAACGCTCCCTAATTCGCGTATGGAACTTTGGAATCATGACCGTTGTCTCCTTATTTCGTAGCTCGTATCTAGTGTTAGCGGACATATGGACACAGCATAATCGTGCATGTGATGGTGAATTATTCTGTACAGGAAACACAAGTTCCTCTTCATTATCCGTAGCCAAAGTGGGTCAAGTCCAAGTTTTTCACTGCGCTCTCTGTAGGTCATCTTGGAGGAATATCCGCACAGCTTCATTGTAAAGCGTCGCTGTACCCTCTCGAGAGCATGCTGGTCAGATTTCTGCAGGTTTGACTGTAGTAGTGAGCAGTATTGCATGCCAGGTAACACATATGTTTTGTAAAGCCAGATACGAGATTCTGGGATTTGAAATTTATGACAGATATAGCCAATAGTCTTCATGGCTTTCGAAACTTGGAAGACTCAATGTTCCGAAAAGTTGAAGGTAGTGGAATACCACACACCCAAGTCGCGAATCACTTTGCACTGTGATATAAACGTGCCTTGTAATAATAGACTGCCTGGTGGAACTTCGCATTTGTACGACAGAATATTACACTTGTCCCCGAAAAAGGACATCTGCCACAGTTTGCACCAGGATTCAAGTGCCGATAGATCTTCCTGAATGTGGCACAAGGCTGCGCGGGTATCTGCACGTTTTTGTGAGTAGACGATTTTAATGTCATCAGCAAACAGAAAAGTAGCACCATGTCTTATTCTACGAAATACATCGTTGACGTAGAGGAGAAAAAGAAGTGGACCAAGTACACTTCCCTGAATTACTCCACTGGTGACTGCTTTCGGTTTAGGGACACGGTCCCCAATACGCACCATCTGATTTCTGTCAGCTAGGTATGAAGACAACCAAGAAAACATTGGTTCTCCAATACCTATTTCCTTCAGTTTGAGGAGTACTCTTCGATGCGGCACTCTGTCGAATGCGTTTTGCATGTCTAAGAACAGGACAATAACACTGTTGCCTTTGTCTATGGCAGCCGTTGTGTGGTTTAAGAAGTCTGTCTGGCATGTCGCACAAGATCTGCCCTGCAAAAAACTGTGTTGTGAATTGTTGATAACCTTTTCCTTATCAAGAAAATAAGTAATTCATCTTTCACTATTCTTTCCATAATTCTAGATATTACAGGTGTGTGATTGATGGGGCGATAGTTTTTAATTTCGTGAACGTTTCCATTCTTATGCCGCGGGATAACCACGGAAGTCTTCCAGTGATTAGGATATACTGCACTGTTAAAAGAGAGCGTAAAAATGTTGAGCAATAGAAGAGGCGAGTCGCTTCCACCGCTTTTTAACAAACAAGGGGGAATTCCATCAGATCCTGGGTAAGTTGAGGAAGACAAGCGGGAGACTTGACCGGAGATTTTTGCAATAGTGAATTCCACTGTGCATAAACTTTCAGCAATGTGTGGTGTGACAAGCGCTGGTGTGGCTAGCGGTTCATCAACCATTGATTCGGCGAAATAGGCGCTGAAAGCCTCACAAATTTCACCCGGAGCATCAAGGTATGTGCCATCCGGCATAATGATAAAATTGATGAAATTACTGCGACGCAAACCTCTGGCACGAAACAGTTTGGACAGTTCAGTTGTTTTATTCGGGCCATTCAAAGCTTTGTATTCTTCTAATATGAAAATGCGAACATTTAGATGCCCGAGTTCTTCGATGATCTTTGCCTGCTGCAGTATTAGCGCAAAGTCTGCTGTTAATCTAAATTTCCACCGGATCTTATGAAGCTTGCGTGTGATACCTAACACTTTGCGATCGGGTTTTTGTTTTCTTAGGCGGGCACACTTTAGAGGCACTAATGAATCAATGCAAAGACCGATGATCTCATGGAACACGTCTGCTGCTTTTTGAGGGCATGGAGAGAGGAAGAAATCATCCCAGATCATCGAACGAACCATATCCTTAAACGTGTTCCAGTTGACGGAGTTGAATAAACGATAGTGCAGTGGGTGTGGTTCATTGGCCATGCGTAATATTACACAGCATTTGACCACCCGACGGTCGCTCCCAGGGAATACATTAAGGACCGTTACATTAATAGCAGGTATGCCCAGCGTGAAAATGAGATCAAGGATGCTGTTTCCTCTGGTAGGTTTGGAGACATGTTGTTGCCAACCATTCATATGTATACAAGAGATAAGATTATGAAATTTCAGAGAAACAGTTCCTGCAGACCATGCAATAGATGGCAGATTGAAATCACCAACGATAATCTTGTGTTTAAAAGGAAGGCTTGCGGCACATTCAAATGCAAACGTCAAAATTGCTGAATATATTTAGGAAGTCAATAACTCCATATTATAAAGCTGTCGGCATCTGAGTAAAATGTTTGGGTGGTGCGTGGTGTAAACGTGTTCAGGTTGCTGAGGTACAGGCTTGGCAACACTTTTGTCCCCATGGAAACTGGTACATCATTCTGAACATGTCGATTATTTGCTGATCGGCCTATACATAAGAAAACCGGAGGAGTTTTCACAATTAGCTAGCGAAACATAGTCTAGTAAACACACTGGTTACCATATTATCGTTGCTCTTTTTAGCACAACAATGTGCGTTCCTGTAGCATCCTCTCAAATAAGTCGTTTTTGGTCAGCCACACACCAAACAGAATTGTATCAACGCACCCGCCACGTATCTTAGGTTGTGACACACGAGCTCAGTTGTAGCACCGGTTGATATTGAAGTCAGCCTCTGTCATTCCGATCACGGAGACCGTACCGCATGTGTAGGGTTTCTTTGTTGCTATCTCCAACCTAACGAATAACAGCTAACCGCTGTGTCAAGCATTGCGCGCGGAGCTCAATGGCCTATTGATCATGGCGATTGCCGCCAACCACTATATACCAGTTCGACTGCCTGCATGTGATCTCTCTAGCTGTTGAGTCCAAACGCGAAGCAAACGCGCTGTGGAGTGCAGCCATAGGAGACAGAAAAAACGAAATCATGCACATGGGATATTGTCAACGTGATCGGAATGGCAGATGCGGACTTCAACTTCAACGGACGCCGTAAATGCGGTTGCGTGTCGCAATCCAATACGCAAGCGGATAGTTCGAAATCTTGCAAACCATATCGTCGCTGTCTTTCGTTGTCACCGAGGCATTGATTATGAACCAGCGCAGTCAGTCAATTTACAGCTCTCAGTGTCGCCGTCTACGTAGCCAAGCTGATGCCGCCATATAGCTACAGGTCCAGCTAGGTTACTTCTCGTTCTTTCATCGCCCTTCTGTGTTTTCCTTCCATACACCTAGAGATCATTGGGCGTATGGACTACGTCTGGGCCCCTCGAATGTTGCACCTTGCGCAAATAATAATATCGCACTGCAACTAAATAACAACAATTGCGAAGTAGTTGACGCTGGCCGTAGTACGATGGGAATGGAACTTCAGCCTGCTGGACCACATGGGTGTCTTGCAGGATATCAGCTTTATACAGGTTCACAGTGTGACAACCAGTTGTATTCATATTTGCAGGTTGCAATGGCCTGCAGTCCGGCGGGTAGCCGCCCCGCGATCTGCGGATCATATCGATTGATTTTGCATAAGAGAAACTTTTGAGATGTTGAAGAGGTCAGAATGTCTGTTGGTTGTGGCATTATCGACAAATGTTTACCCATGGAACCTGTGTAAACGAAACCTTCGTTACGATGGCATCTACCTGTTAAATTCACATGCAATCTTGAGCAGTTTATGTGAGGAAAAGAAAAGAAGTAGTAAAAGAAATAGCGAAAGGAACTCAACCAACCGTCACAAAAATTATGTGAACTTACGGAGGGCACAGTTTACAAGAACGTGCATGAATAACAATGTGGTTATGGAGTGAACCAAATGAATGTCAGCTTCGACTTCGCATCTACCGCTGGCTTCGTGATATTGTAATTTTTACTGCGAGTTTTCGTATTTAACAAGAAGAAAAAGTCTCATAAAACTATTACTGCGTTTCGCTCTTCCCACTTGTCTTCAGCTATCACTGATCAACTCATAGTGGAGAGCAATATGACCATAAGACCAACCACTCACGGGACGTCGGAAACTACGGGTTCGTCAGGTAAGCATATGTGATAATGAATGACGGAGCACATTTTCCAATTTCACCGTGCTCGAATTTCGCCCATATTTCTGATTCTTGAGCACACGGATCAACCGTGTACGTACCCTCGCGTGGTTTAGTGTGATGTTTGGTTCTTTGCAATTTGGGCTGAGGTAAATCGTTTCACTCCTGACTGATATCAATGTGCGATGTAGCGTGGCTTATCGTACAGTTGCATGCACTTGATGAACTTACTGAGCACAGTGTTTGCACTGAGAGCCAGGACTTCGTTTGCTAGTTGCCACCAACCGTTTGGCATGTAAGCTGTTGGGCCATTACTAACTATTAGTTAGTAGTAGGGGATTTAGCGTTGTTTTGAGAAAGTTCACCACAACTAAACTCAAACACACAGCCACCACACATTCATGAAAGCACGGGACGGCCAGTACGTCCTACTGGGACTTGTCAGTAGCGCGCAGGCAACGAATTCAAAAGTGCGTTAAATGTGAGCGTTTTATGAACCAACGTAGTTATTCCACGTTGATAGTTGCACTAATCTTCTTCGATCACAATCATTCTGTAGATTTATTTAAGCATGAATTTAGTTATATATGACAGCGCGAAATTCACCATAAGGCTACACAACAAGAATACTATGAGATTCCCCGAATACGTTTGATTAGGCATGCATGAGTAAGAAACTGTGACTTGCAAGGTTAAATATCAGAGTCCACTCTTTTGTGCGAGATATTTCCGATCAGTCTACTCTAGCGTGCCGAGTTTCAACGAAGATTTTATCTTTAGTTTAGTCGAAACACGCGTTTGAGCACGCAGTCCTTTGCAGACAATATTATTGATGTATCTTCTCGGTTCTACGAGACTTGCCCTTCTCGTCATGAGCAGTATTTCCCAAGCATGTCACACAATCACAATCACCGATGGGAACATATGCATAAATATTTTGCAACGTTTGTAACAGCTTTTAAATATAAAAGGTATTAATCTACTCCTTGAGTAAAGTTATTCCACTATTCATAGAAAAGTGTAATGGGGACCTACTTTCATGCGACGTAGTCCAACTGTGGGTTTTATCCGCACTTCCACTCCAATCTGACACTGTGTCGGTTTGGCTTAAAAGCATGCACATTATCGGCGCTTTCAACCATATATCAGATCATTTTTAGATTCTATTATGATGGACTCTACAGCTTACGCTGTCCGACATCCGGTCTGATCTAAATGCGTGCCGGTCATTAAGGTTTCAACTTATCTTTCTGGTCGTTTTATCCATTTTATGGTGGCCACTTTAGCCATTCGGTCCATTTGACTTTACTGAGTATAGCACTGTTAGTTCACCAGTGATTTTGCTGGACATTCGCCTTGCGTGGGTAAAAACGGATCATCTTAGAAACTTTGGTGTGTTTCCTAAGGAGATGGACCAAGTTGTAGCCAACGCTGAAAGAAGAGTAAAGTTAAATGAACAAAGACGACAAGTATTATGCAGTTTGTGAGAGCACGAGACATGATCCGTTGGAGGAGTTCGATTGCTGGCTGCTGGGGTATTGTTTTATGTCCATGAATAATATAGTGGCGACGAAGCGCCAAATGCAAAGGCTGCAAATATCAGATTACATGTCAATCTGGCTGTGAGTAAGTGGGAAGGAGAGAAAATTAGTCTTATTTTTGTCCCACTGAAATGAATAATGTATGTTCCAACGATGAAGCGAGTTAACCATTTGGAATGGAACGACTCTAGTGTTTTCTTCAATCTGGATAGTAATTCTTTGAAGGGACAAATGGTTATGAATTTCAAGTGGAGGATCAAACACTGCGGCAACGATGGGAGAGAGGTGGTGACGGAAGATGGAGAGCTATCAGCTCCACAATCACGGAAATACTCATTCGCGCAATCGAAACGAAAGAATTCGCTGATATTTTGTAGAGTTAGTTAATTGTTTTGTAGTTTTTATATGCCCAAAGTGAAGCTGAAGTTCTGTTGTCATGGGCAATCTATCCTACAGCGGCAGATATTTGAATTTACACAAGTTGCATCGGAGTCAATTGCGATAGCGGAGTATTTCCTTCACCTAATCTTTGTTTCTCCGATGATATGGTGAAGGTTCATGGAATTTCTGTTTGAAAAATTCTGTAGGTCATTCGATGAACAGTTTTGTGATGCGGACGTGGAGTTAGTTTCAACTTTTGAAGCCACAATGGCTCGCGGATTGGCAGGTTACATGTAGCTTTGTAATCTAGGTTACATGTGGAACCCCCATGACATTTTGTATAGGATCTCTGAGTTGCCAGCTTCTCATGTTTTCTTATGCTACTGAAAGTATTCTAGAACAGGTTGGGCACGAACGCTGAAAGCCATAAGTTTAGCATCAGTTGTTAAAAACAAAACGGCTCAATATTCTAATGGTTTGTCCTGCTTTAGACGAAATATGACTAATTTGTTCTTTAAAAGCAAGCGTGCATGAATAACACAGACCCAAATCACAGGTATAGTCATCTAAGGAAAATGGAAGATTGTGCAAAATAAGACTTCCTAATGGGACACCGCGTTTATAACACATGATACTACACTTAGTTGCCGAAAAGAACCTTGCGAAACTGAAACACCCTTCTTCCGAGCAGACCGTCGTTCCGTATTTCAGTTTTAAAAATAGAGCTTTGTGGCTCCGCAGTATATATAATTTGTACATCATCGGAAAACTGATAAGGTTTATCGTTCTTGATTACAGGAAACAGATCATGTATGCATATAAGGAAAGAATAGCTTTGAGTACGCTGCCTTGTACCATTGTGCCATTGTTACACCACTAGTAATGGTCCTAGTACCTAATGAGTGCTCGCTTATCATGACTAGGCGCTTCCGGCCAGTTGTCAAGGCTAGACGTCATCCGTAGTAAGTTGGTGTGTACCCAGACATCAGAAGGAAACGGTGTAAGAAGTGGAGTATACTCAACAACTAACACTGAGTGAATTACAGGGTAAGAAGCGAAGTTTGGCGTACATACGCACGTGTGCAACATCAATACGTACCATACCAAGGTCAGTCATTGATCGTTACTCAACCCAGGCCATCCCATCGTCGTGGCTGAATTCAAATTACTGATTGGAAACTTTCGACCGCTTTTCGAATTCGGCTGGACCGCATAAGTATGATATTATTTGTTGTTTCGGTTTTCACGCCTTCCGTTATTTGCTCCGTGCTGGAACGGGAGTCAGATTGCGCTTCTGCCGGTGTGTCTGTGCCCCGGGGCGTTAGTGATCCGAATGTCGGCGGACGAAACGGCCATCCGGAAGTTGCAGCTCGTTTTGGCTGCCTGCAGAACCGAGCACAGTTGCTGGTAGCCAGCATTGTTCACGCAGTAGCCGAGCGTATACTGGTTGATTTTCGCTAAATGTGCTTTCCTCTTTTAGCTCCTCTGGTGATGATACATACTTCCTCAGACGCTCGATTACTTCCATAGGTGGGTTGGGAAAAAAACGAATGAAGCCCAGTCCTGAGATTTTTGCCGAACATCAGTTCCGTCTGGGGCTTATTCGTGGTTTAGATTCTACGCCGTCGGTTGAGGAGCAACCGTTATGCAGACTAGTGGGTAAATTTTGTCTGTGGCTCAACTAGTTAATGTGCGGAGGTTCTTAGAGCACGTTAAATAAAAGCAGGACGCCGCCCACCTCAGCGATCAATTCGATTCGATAAAATCAAAACAACGAAAATTACAGCACGTTTGGAAATGCAAAATCCTCGGCTAACATTGCCGCTCACACCCAAAAGTAACGAGCATTACGCACGCGTATGGTTCCACATTTGATTGCGATCTGCCATCTCTGCCAACAGGCTGCATAGCTTGATTGAGAGTGTATAAGGAACGAAATAGGAACTTGTTAGTGTTCACTAAATCGTGTGGTGCAAATCGTTGACTCGCTTTTAATTGATAGTTAGCACCTCCATGGAAAATTCTCGTAACTAAGATGAGCCTCCGCTTGAAAGTTACATTGGCAATTCTCGACCAAGTTGAGGAAACAGACTGCCAACTCGATTACCTGTCACCACACATCGCTCCCCATGCTTTATCGGACGTAGGTAAACACCAGAATTGTAGGGTTCCTTAATTGTTACTTTGTGATTATGACAACCAGTGCATCATGTCTTCCGCATGTCTTCAGCAAACGATGTGTGATCAGGCACAAGGTTGGCGAGAAAAGCAGGTGAAGGTGTTCAGTACAAATACCATCCAAAATTGACACACTGAAACAAATGCTAAGTTGTAGCTTAGCTACGCAACACGTTAAAGAATATTAGATGGTTAACGCGTCGATAAAGACTGAAAGTTAATACGGTTCAATTGCATTGCGCGACATTCATGTTGTAGAGCAATCGTAAGATTCGAAAGTAACGGGGATGTTTACTTTATCAGACGTTTCCACGACAGCTCGAATAGATTGCACACATAATGAACAATGGAACAATGGTTCATTACGGGTAAAAAAGCATCGCTTAACAAGTCCCGTAGGATGGAAATTATTGCGAAAATCAATTGCATAATGAAGTAAAAAGCGTTGTGGTGGACTCACCATAGACTTATGTGGAATAGCGGAGACGTTCGCGTGTTAAACGTATAAATCCATCAATCCATTGGTTTAGGCGTTTGGCAAGACACCGTTTGATTGCGTTTTGTAGCCCCTGGCTAACAGCTCATAAAATGAAATGTAAGTGAGACAATGCATCGTCAACACGTTTTTTAAATATCGCCAGATTGGGAGCAGAGACGACATAATTAGGGAGGGCGTTCCAAAGCTAGCACACGCGGAGAGAAAAGCAATTTCTACGGCATTCAAGCCGGCGATACTGAGTTGTCAGTTTCAGAGGGTGATCTCTTAGTTTAGTGTTGTGGTTCAATTCCAGCAGCGGACGGCAAATGTGGTTTGGGTTCTACAGAATCTGGTAAACCATTATGAGAGCCCCCCGCAAAAGCCGATATTGACTGCTGTACATTTTTAAGGATTTC